TATATATATATATATATATATATATATATATATATATATATATATATATATATATATATATATATATATACACACACACACATATACACACATATACACACACACACACACAGAGTGAGCAACAACAATTATGTGTCACAATATCATATTCCCAGTGAAATTTTGCAGATACAAGAGATTTGGAGAGATTTATATAAAGGATCCAACTTATCGGATGCTTATGAAAATTGAATCCAAACTCCTAACCTTTTGAAAATCACCTTTGACTGCTATGCACATGCTACTAAATATTCTAGCCATAAAGAAACTAATCCCAAAGCGAGAAGATTGTATATCTACATTATCCCAATGTGAATTATGCTACAGTACGGTACAGTCTTAGAATACATGTTTTATATATTTATAATATATTTGATGAGAGGTATTTGTACATAAGACATAGGTTAAAATGTGCTGCATTCATTTTCTAAGTTTCTCAGTATCAAAATAAAAAGTGTATTGAACTTGAGATATAATTACATCATCATATTATACAAGACAAAAGAGTGGCAAGGAACATCCTGCTGAAAAACAATGTAATAAGTACAATCAATTTCACTATGTACCTTCAATGTGTATTTAAATGAAAAAATAAATCTCCAAGAAAACTATTATTACTAATTATTTGCATGTTAAATCAATCCACAAGACAAGAGCATTCTTTTAAAAACAATCAACATAATAAAATTGCTAGATCTTCAGTGTCCAGATTAATCTGATGACAACGACGACATGGATAATCAAATAAAAACATTGCCACGGTGGCCCTGATCCTACAATCAAATCTGCATAGGCATTTGATTGCAGGAATGGATTGGTTTGTTTTGAAGGTTTGGTGAAGGAAGAGTTTGTGTCAGTTTTTAAAGTTAATCAGAAAATACCCAGAGATATTAGTGTGACATAATTTGCCCAGACATTGTCACACAACCTCAGAACCCATTTCCCAGAATAAAAGAAACAAAACAAACAAAAACTTCAGTTACTGTTTAAAATCTGAAACCAAGCCATATTTTTATTAAAAATGGTTTCCTAAACCTGAGATTGACCTCACCTTTAAGTGGAGGTGGTGTGCGCAGGGGGCACAGTTGTCCAGCTTGCTTGAGAGGGGGAGGGGGAGAAAACAAGCAAGAAGCCACTTTAAGCAAGAAGCCGCTTTGATCAACAACCCCAAAAAAGCCGTATCTCAGGAAACCGTACCAAAAGCAAAGGAAAGAGGAACCCTTCTCTGAAGCACTGATGTCACTTCTGGGAGGGGCAGGAGCCAGGTCTCACTCGCCGGAGGTGAAATCATAGCCCTAATGAAGTCAATAGCAAGACTCCCAAGAAACTCTCATGGGATCAGGATTTCATCCCAGGAATGTCTCCACAGCATTCCTATGAAATAGGCTGCTTAATGGGATATCCTAAAGGATGTCCCACTTATTGAACCCAAATTGGGCAGCATGATATATGTGCTTGTCCACTGACAGCATTAACCTGAGAATTATCTGTGAGAACCCCACACTCCCATGTGAAATATTTAAACCATAATAATAGAAAAAAGTACACTCTTTAACTGTATTAATTGTGACAGAACACAGTCCTGCAAACCATTACAAAACCAATCGACCACAATGAACTCACTCAAAGTTTTTTGAAGGATATAATTGTACTAACCAATTAGCTTCTGATCCTGGGGGTGGGGGGGAAAACACACAACAACCCAGTTTTCCACATTAAATTGCAGAAATTTATAATACAATATTAGTCCTCAGTTTCCTGTTCATTTCCATCCATACTTGGCTTGAAAAAATATGAATGTAATAAAAATGGAACTAGGAAGCATTAACACTGCCTGCTAACAACTAAGTGTAGGTAAATGAGCATAAAAAACAGCATTTATACCATGCCATTTAAAATCTGACACAAATCAATAAAAGCAAAATCTTTAAAGATCCGTCCAACTTAGCTTATTCCCTGAACCATAAGGAAGTCTACCAAGAGAAAAATGGAATATATGAGAGTGTGATCTGCTATAAAGATATAATCAGAATGAGTTTGGCATGGCTGCATTTCTCATAACTGGCAAAGCCACAAATGAGTTATGCAAGTCATCACAAACTGGTGTAGATAAATGCTTTTAAAAACAGATATTTGGTATATGTCACGTGTTATGGGGGTAGGAGCCCACAATTGCAGGAATGGTTAAAGGAGTTAAATCTTTTTATAGGAACTACAGAAATAATTTAGAAGTCTATACAATTTAGTGATAATATCCTTACTATAGGATGTTTAACCATTCCCATTTTGCATAGGACTGTGCCCACATGGAAAAAAGTCTCACAGAATTTAATAGGGGTTTTTAGAAATATTGTGTGCCAATACATACAACCAAACTATCTTCATGCTTAGCTTGCCAATTAAGTTCATGAATCATGACTTCCTCCTTGGCAGGCTGTGCAGTATTTGCAGTATTCCAATATCCACATGGATCTCCCAATATTTTTCAGAGAATACAGTGGATTACTTTTCAAAAGGTTCCCATTTCTGTTTGTCTGTTAATGTTTTCAGTTCCTTAGCATCAGAATGAACTGGATTGGTTTTGGAAAAAAAAAAAATTCAGAGCATAAATGCCTGGAGGGGGGCTGTTACTTATCAGAGCCTCTGTAGCCAATTATTCATTAAAATTGCTTATGCTTGCAACAAAGAAAACGAACACCTGTAAAAGCCTTTCCAAATCATGATTGTTCCACAGGAGACAAAGGACTTCTGAGCAGACTAGAGAACGATGGGTTAACTAAACAAATTAGACATTAGTCCTTATTAGGTGAATTTAATAGAAATGAGCTTAGAAGTTTGGCTTTTTTATATATATTATGGACTACAGATAATGTACATAGCATTTGACCACACCACAGAAATCTTGTCTCCCCAGTTCTAGTTTACACTTTAATTGAACAAAGAATATAGTACAACTCATTTTAAAGAATCCATCTATGGCTATTTTGATCAATATCAGCACATTTATACATTCCAAGAGGAAGAATTACATTAGGTTTCACTGTGACTGGGCCTAAAATGAAATCAGAGGGTTCCTTAAAACTGGGGCCACTTTAGAACTGCAAGTGGTGATTCTGAAATTTTAGGTCTGCTCCATAAAGCTTCCTGTTCCTATGTGTATATGACAGACTCACTGTTTAACGTGCATCAGGGTCAGCAGCATCCTCCCTAGAGCTAAATACACTATGCACCAGAAATGCTCATTTGACATTTTATAAAATGTTTTTTCTGAGTCTGGGCAGTTGCTGGTTCTTTGGATCTGACTCTGGGGAAGGAATGATAAGAAATTATAGTGTTCTATATTCTTCCTAATCATCGGGTTTTACCTTGAAAAATACACCTAGCCCACAAGAGAGAGAGTAGTCATCATGTATATTGTTCTGCTCTTTTAGTTCTCCCTGAACAGCATTTGGCAATCTCACCCCACCAGCAGCCACATTATTTATTGTTAACTTTTCATCGTGCTTTAAACATCCCACTGCATTATAAAAAGCATGTAAAATATTTATGATGGTAGCCACTAATGTTGAAGCACTGCTGTATCCTTGGCCCTCACTTTTTGGAGAAAAAAAAGAGGGCCAGACACTTAAAATCTAATCATGTATTTAAGAATTGTAATAGGGTACAGTTTTTACACACAGCCTCAGAATCTCTTCCTCCCACCCTTCTTACTGGAATAAGTTCTGTCACCTGTTTGCTGAAGATGTCAGAGAGTATAGGCCTTTCTCTAGACCAATGGTTCTCAAACTATGGGTCGGGACCTTGTTTTAATGGGGTTGCCAGGGCTGTCAAACTTGCTAGGGTCCAGGG